AAAAAAAAAAAAAAAAAGGAGCAATTTTCTGTTAAAACAGACGTAGCAAATGTGTTTATATCTCTGTGGTAGGTACTGGCTGAGTGAAACAACAAGGGGGAACGGAACAAATGTGCTGGTGGAGAAATGACTAAAGATATCAAGGGGTGGGAGGAGAAGGAACGGGAGGGAAAAACTACCTGGAGGGCCGTATAAGCCACATGGCTGTGCTAAGGTCAGAAGTGAAGTGTGAAGTGTGTGGGGAGGAGAGTGGAGCTGGGAGCTGTAGGGCATGAAGTGGAAGTGAACAGGAGTGACAGTTCATGTTCTGAGGGGTGAGGAGCTCAGCGTGGGTCGGCACACAGTGGTGTGTGAGGGAGGGAGGTACCTGTCAGCCCCTGCCTGCTCACCAGGGAAGGGAAAGGAGCGAGAATTTGTGCCTGATGAGAGAGATTTGTGCACACAGCGTGCTCTGAGTAAATGAGGGAAGCACAGGTGAGGACTGCAGACCTGGGTGTGGGGCCTGGGAGAAGGAAAACCGCTTATGGGGGAGGGAAGAGTGATGAGGAGTGAGAAAAAAGTTTGTGACGGTTTAAGCCATCTGTAGTTATCTGCCTCTTAGTTTAAGGCAGGCTGAGCGTGCAAGGGGCCCTACGTGCATGCAGAGCAGAAGTTAAATTCAAGTTAAATTCAAGGGTAGACCAAGTGAGAGGCACAGGTAAATCCACAGAGTCGTTGGTGATGAGGGAATGGATATGGGGGATGCTGGTTCTGTGTGAGCGTCAGGGACTGGTGGAGCTGCAGAGGGGAGCACAAGATGAGAACAACCCAGGAAGAAGCTGAAGCACTTTGGGAGCACGTAAGAGCCCTGGAAGGGCCAAATGGCCGTGTGGAAGTTCCAAACACCCCCCCAGGAAGCCGTGCTGGGGCGTGAGGTGGCTCTCAGGGGCTGGCTGGAGGATGACGTGTCCACCACGCCGGTGGCACGGCGCTCCGTGTCGAAATCGGTTATGTAAGGGCACGGCACAGAGGTGAGTTTCGTGAGTGCTAAGAGAGCAATGTTTGCATTTAGAAGGAGGGTAGGGAAGGATGACTAACAGAGAAAATGGTTTGGTGTGGTGCGTGGGTAGCACCCAACGCGTGCTAGAGGTGCTCGCCTTCTGCTTGACTCGCACAGTGAGCAGAGGCTCCTCCAGAGATTTTTGGGGGTTTTTGGCAGGGGTTTTTTTTGTGAAAAACTGCTGAATAATCCTGAGAACATCCTAGCATGTCTGACTAGCGACCAGCTTCATTTTGAAGCATGCCAATGTAGCTTACTTTAGTGAGTTAAAACTTCAGATGCTGCTGGCACAAAATGGCAGGGGGGTTTCTCTGGGGCAAGTTAACAGGGCTACTAGGTAGTTAATCAGGGCTCTTGGAAGAACAACAATTGGGCTGAAGTGCACATAAGGACTACAGATGTCAGTCAAAGGAAACAGGAAAGGACTAGCTTTATCCATGGCTTGAAGCAGCCAAGCTGGTTGAAGGTTGGAAACATAGGATACGGCTTGGGTGTGAG